TAGCCAACAAGATTTTCCGATTAAGACCTAAAGAGGACTTGATAAATGCAAATACATAGAAACTTTTGAGCCAAGAAAGTTGGCACCTTACTAACACATTGAGGTCTGCCTAGCTTTGTCCCGTTAAGCCACACAAAACCAATGAACTGGAATATATCAGGTAAAGGGATCCTGGTCACATGTGGAGGGGAAAAGGAACCAAGCCATAGCAATATTTATGTATTGCTATGGACATGGCCCGCCAATGTCTCCTCCATGTCTACTAGAAACCAAAAGTGGATCCTATTAACTTGGAATGGCAGTTCAGATAAGGAGGTCATTGATGGGTCACAGAAAGCCCTTTGCTATTCAAAGCTTCCTGTGGGTTCCTTTTGCAGGGAAGGATTTTGGGAACAATTTTTAATAACATTTTATTGCAAGGCAAACAACATTATATCATTATGCAATATTGTTTTGCTGTGTGCTCTTTTATTTTTAGGGCCTTTCCCAATGATTGTGAACACTGATCTTTTCAGTTCTGCAAATGAGCAAGTGTTGTATTTTCAGTGAGTTTTCATTATGATGTCAAGACACATTGGAAGTCAAAAGTATTAGAGATGTTTTGCATCCTCTGCAATTATGGCTGCTATGATCTTCATCTGTGGCCCAGATAAAGGGCTGTGGCCAATTAACTACTCCCACCTACAGAATGGCATGTGCCACTGAAACAGGGAAGGGGCCAATTCCCCCTCCCCATGCCCTCAAAATTGAGCCTGAACCCACATCTGTTCCAGGAGACTATCCAGAGCAGATGTTGAGGGAGAATGAGGGTCTGACCAGGGGGGGGGGGGTGGAGAGGAGATGCTGATTTTACCCCCATTGTTGAATGTTTAATATTATTAGTCCACAAGGATTGGGGCAAAATCCTTTGGACACAATCCTATTCACGTTTTGGTCGAAAAAAGTCCTACATTTCCCAGTGTTTTTCCAGCTAGCGTGACTGCATGGAAGGAGTTGTAGGATTTTTTTTCCTGGCTAAATTTGAATAAGATTGTGCTCTTAACTAGAGCAGGAGTAACATCCAACAACTACTCCTGAATACGTTTTATTTTAAAAAAAGGCTGTCAGGGTTTTGTGTGTAACATGTTTTTTGGCCTGATGTAGTAGTCCAAATCTAGAGAAGGGAAGCCAAAGAAATCTCCATGAGAAGCAAATTTCACAGCTGCTGTCCACAAGGAAGGTACTCTGGTCATACTGGTTCTGTATAATCCACTTCAATAGTAACGTTAAAGGTTTCCTTTAAAACCCCAGAGCCACCCTGGCTCTGCACTCTACACTATGATTGGTATAATCTTTCAAATTCAGTTTTGTCATGAGAGTCACTAGGTGGTTGGTTGCCATGATCCAATGAAAACAACTACTTTAAACATTATTTAAAAGAGAAGAAAGGATTTAGCTTTTCACTTTTGGCAAGTTACCTTTTAAGGCAGCCTTCTTCAACCAGATGCCGTCCAGATGTTTGGGCTTCACTTCCCAAGAGATACAGCCAGCATGGCTAATGGTCATAAATGCTGGGAGTTGTAGTCTAAAACATCTGAAGGGCATCAGTTTGAGGGCTTAAGCTTTCCTTTTTTGATCTGATGGATTCCGCTTCTTTTGAATGTCATCAAGCTCCAAAAGGAAAAGCTATTTTCATATGAAAAAAAACCCCACATGTCCAAAGCATCTACTTAGACCATCCATGTTGATTTCTATTTATTAGTTTTGTTTCCATTTTTCCTACAAAGAACTCAAGGTTCCATATTCCTCCTCTCCATTTCATCCTTACAACAATGCTTTGAGATAGGTCCAGCTGAAAGTCAGTGATTGCCCAAGAACAATGTGTGAGTTTCATGGGGATTAGGACATGGATCTTCCCAGTCCTAGACCAGCACCCTAACCAGTATACTACATTGTTAGAGTGACACTTTAAGACTTTGGTTGTGTCTTTAAAATGGGGTCTATGCCAATTATATTACAGATGATGGAAGCAAATTAAGGGACTGTAGAAACCTAAAATATTTGGTTGAAAGTTCTGAAAGGGGTTCAGAAATCCCAGCCATCTGAAAATTCTGCTTTCTTCAAAACCAGGACCTTCAAATACAAACAAACAAAAATTATACTAGCTTCTATTCCTTTGAAATGTTTTCCCAGACAGGTGTAATTTCTTGCCTATATAAACATTAAAGCTATATATTACACTCCCTCCCTTCAGTTCTTATCATTTGATGAGATTAACTCAACACTTTTGCTTTGGGAAATACATTTTCCTTGCCCGAGTATCTCTTTCTCTTAACCACAAAGAAAAAGGTTATTCTACTCACAGTCCAATTTGTCTTTAGTAACAAACTAAAGAATACTATTGCTAATATGTACTTTCATCTCCAGTGAAACAAGACACTTAGGCATACAATTAAAATTACTCATACAAATGAGTCAATAGTACTATTTGTGTAAAGAGAGCCACATATGTAAATAGCGACTGAATCAAAATCACACTGAATCAAAATCAAAGCATGTTACTTTTAAAACATGTCTTTTTTCCTTCACTGGAAGGCAGTGGGGAGGGGGGAACCAGCTGAGTGGACCACTTGATAATTCCACTTGGTTAGCTGTCTTTGGTCGAGGGTCACTTTGAGTTCTGCGCTCAGCTATCAGGCAGTGCTCGATCCGCAGAAGTCAGGGAATTGTGTTATCCAGAGCGTGGGGCCATTCTCAGATGCTTTCTTCACTCACAAGAGTAGTTTGTTTATGTTACTTGAGTAAAGTGTGGCCAGAACCTCATTATTTTCAGCAGTGACAATGTCTGTGATCTGTAAAGTACATTTGGCCACTTCAGAGATCAAAACTGGAGTTCTTCAAGCTCCAAGGTCACAAGTATATCTATTGTTTTAATTATTATATTGCATAATATTATATTTTTAAATCATTGTAAGCCGTCCTGAGCTGTTCGTTGGAAAGGGCACGATATAAATGTTTTAAATAAATAAAATAAATTAATAAATAACAGTAGGCACAACCAACATATTTATATCCTGCTGAAAGCACAGGATTCTAAGATATCATTGGGAGGCTACAAATACAAACCCGCTACAAATATTTACCACACATACCTATTAACACTGCAAAAACTAAGTGGATAAATCCCAAGAGAAAGCAAGACTTCTTCAGCATGGAAAGAATACTACCATCATTGACAATACAGTGCCAATGATCTTAATTAATTTAGTCCTTTTAAAATCTATTACATATAGTATTCAATATGTTGGCATTATTGGAAAAAGTAAATTGCAGGGACAACTGCAACTATGGGCATGTGAGTCTGTTCACAATTTTGAATGTATTAACAGGCAGAAATACACAAAGTCCTTAGTTCAGTCCTAGGGTTGTAGCAAGGAAGTGAGCAGGATGAGGTTTAATAATGCTTATAGCACCAGGGCTCTGTAATATGTAATGTGACAACAGTGAGAGATGTTACTCTCGTTTCATAGGCAGAAATACATAGGATCATGTGCTAACTTGAGAATTCACCCCTTTGTGGTTAGAATGATAAACGTTTGCTCTGAGGTTGGTAATTAAAGAATCAGTAAAGCAACAAGCATATGGAACAGCTGTGGATGTGCTACTTTTTATTTGACAGCTGTCTAAAATGTCTTTTCATTTTAGAGCTTTTGGAGCATCCCCATGACAACCAATGAAAGATCAACTTGAGCTCTGTTGCCTGTGCAGGTTGCTTGTAGGATGACTTGACTTGAATAGTAAGCCTAAACAGCAAGTCCAGATTCTTCAGCTGTCACACATCCATTTATTAATGGCAACTATTATATCTGCATGTCAAAAGCAACAAATAAGGACAGTAAAAATGATGTGCTTAAATACGTATTCAGTAATATTTGTTTACACATTAAGCAGAACCAGGGTAGAAAGTAAAAAGTAGAAATGAGTTAAAGGGGGTGATATTTTAAGTTACGAATTTATTTGTTACTACATTTCTTTCTTTCTTTTCCATCCTCTTGCAAGGAGCCCAAGGTGGCTTCCATTGTCCTCTCCCTGTCCATTTTACTAAAGAAAATGAAAAGATCCCATTGGAAATCAAAGAAAACCAATGACATTTGAAAAATCAAAGTATAAAGCCCCACAAAGAGTCTCAGTGTCTTCCTTTTTTATCCTTATGCTGTATATTGTTTAAAACATTTATAACCCACCTTTTCCTGCTAAGAGTTTAAAATGGCTAACAAAAAGTATGAACAATTCAAACCAAATTAAAATCAAATCACTGCAGCAGTAAATAGCAGCAGAAAATGAGAAGGTAGCTGCAGTAAAAAAATGTTGAAATATTCAAAAACCAGACATCAGATTAAAAAATGGCTGGTTTCAAAGCAAGAAGGAAGGTTCATGCTTGTGGAAGATCATTAATGAGGAAGTGAAACAGCTTTCCGCCTTTTTAGCCGTCTCCTCCCTTTATCCTTTTCAACAAGACTTTTTCTCCCAGAACTGGGAAGAGGAATCATAAGCGACCCTTTTGCAAACATCAGTATCAACTGTGTGGTCACTACTAGGATAGGTCAACAATCTTATTAAAACATCACATACCTCCTTATGCATATCAAATAGACACTCTTTAAAAATATTCATATTGTACAGTCACCACTGGGCAAACAGGGGCAATTTTTCCAAATATTGTAGAACTAAAGCATTGCCAGAAAAGAATCCATCTGAATGTAATGTTGGTTACCATAACATAGGCAGTCCATTTGGGGAAATACATTGTTTTTATCTTGTTGTGCTCATACACATACACACATACAACACAAAATAATACCATAACAGAAGGGTGCTGTATCTGTGTTTAAAGAAGGGGTTGTTGGCAAACAGCGCAGCTCACTTCTGCCGAAATGTACACAACTGATATATGCAGCACAGAAAGCTGGCACCCAGGGCGTACAACCTTAATTTGCCTGCAAGAAGGAATGGAGATTTACCTTCAGAGCACGTTCTTGATTGTTTTCAGCAGTCAGATGTCTCGTGTTGTTTGCAGAAGTCTGGTTCTGCTCTTTCATATGATGAAGCTCCTGCTCTAGCCGTTTGCACTGCAACGAGGAGAGAATCCCATTAAGTAAAGGAGCTGGACATCTCTAGGGGGTTTTTCCCCCAGTGAGCCACATGAATTAAATGCAAATTGCACTACCACATGTGTGTGTGTGTGTGTGTGTGTGTTTGACTATTTTATTGAATCAAACTTTACAATTAACCATGTTACAGTCCAAGACTTGTGATAACCCAGATCTTGGTTTATTAATTCTCTTCTGGTACAATTACTCATAGACAAAAATGCTAATTAAATGTTTAAAGGAGCAATGCAAAATATTTGAAAGATGACGTATAAACGTTGAGAAAATGATCTCCTATGTCAGAACGAACACCGGGATATGTTAGGCAGTGCTTATTAAACTTATTGAACACAATTTCCTTATTAAAACAAAATTAATCAAAACTTATTGCAAAAACCATCTCACATTATTACACAATGCTGTAAAGCTATAAACAGCATTAATAATTAAACTTTAGTATTGAGGAACAGAATTGTTAATTTTCTGTGTGAAAAGGAACAAGTTTCAAAGAATTAAACAACCAAGATATAAGTCGTTTGATATATTCAAATGATCATCTGACCAATTTTCTATAAAGCCATGAGGTTCAATCCCTGGATATCCTGGCTTAAAGGTAAAATTGATTGTTTGCAGAAAAAATCCTCACGAAAACAGAATAATTCAAGACCAAAGATCCATTAGATATCCAAGACAGGAGATGGTATACTCCCAAAAGTTAAAATGAGAAAAGGGAAGCTCCGAAAACATAAAGTTATGTAAGATGAACACTATAACTACTTTGTATGACAGAAAATGTTACAAAAAGTATGGCAATAATGTAGCTTTTGGACACTCAACAGTGTGAAAGTTATCAACAGAATGACCTATTTTTGGAAACGTGCCATAAACAGTTTGGACTGTAAACATGTTATTAGTTATAAGGTGTATATGACTTCATGGTGATATTACCTATACATCTATATTTAAAAGCTGCCCACTTTTGATGATGATGATGCAGTATAAGCAATTTATGAAGAGGTCAGCTATAAAATGCCAATAGGTAAAAACAGAGTTTTCTAGAAACAAAACGTTTTTTCATACTGGACTATTTACTCTCAGAAGTAAAATCCAGATCCACATACTGGCCAGAATCCAAGGCGCAAGTACATTCTAACAAAATCAATTGTAACTTAAACATGCTTAATTGTAAACTAGATTTCAAGATTTATTTATTTTCTATGCATAGCCTTTGCTCCCACAAATGAGGAGTACTCTCTGAATAGAGTTCTGTTCAGGGAGTTCTGGCTAGTGGAAAGGGGGGATTTCTATCTATTGCTCTTGCCCCCCCCCCACCTATCTCCTAGAGCCTCCAGGGTTGATTTTCAAGGAACACCAGGGTCTATGGAGATAGGTGCAAGTCAGCTAAAACAACCTCTGACAGATGGATCAGAAACCTTCTGCACATAGAAGGAGGCATCTGTCCATGGAGGGTCAATTCTAGATCCTACACTACTAGTTTAATGCTGCCCCAGGGGAATGAAGACTCATTGGCATGATCAATCAGAAAACTGGTCACTGCCAATACCCAGGAGATTCACCTTGATACCATAGGCATGATTAGAAAGCAAAGCCCATGAATGAATTATCTTCAGCATATCTTTGAAATGGAAGTAACAGCACTGTCGAGTAGCTTTCCTCACTGCTTCACAAGAATGTTCGTAGACCTATAAGACCCTTTTCAGGAGAATGCTGGTGCTGTGAATTTATGTCTGTTTAAAAAGAAAGAAGAAAAGTCCACCTAATTCTAGAAACAGGTCTCTGAAGGAGGACAGCTTTCCTTCCTTTCCAGTCCAGAAAACAACTAAGTGTTTGGGCAAATAGAGTACTATTAGTTCACATCTCACCTTCAGGATTTTGCCAGTCTGCAATCCTATAAAGGCTGATGACTGGGTCCCCAACATATGGTAGATTGATGGCAAAGAAAGTTCTCTCCTTCCCACTTTTAATTGAATAAAGGTTAATGCAACTTTGTTTTCTCCCTGCTTTTCTTTAAGATTGCTCAGCTCACTTAGGCCTTTCCTTCAGAGCAGTGCTTGCTGGGGGCTAAAAGCTCTATTCAGCTGCTACTGGTGAACCAGTCCTGAAAGGGCTTACTTCCATGCCAGTGAGGACTGGGCAGGGCATGGCAGCACAGGCCAGCCACCAGAGCATCAGAGTGGCAAGTGGTGGCCTGGGACGGCTAGCGCACAGGCATAACTGGCTCATTCTAGACTTGTCTACCTGTCGCTGTCATAGGCCCAATGAGAGAGATCTCGAGATGTAACCAGCAATCTGCCCTGAAATGTTTTTGAGATGTTGAGCATCAGATAACAAAAGCAGCTCATTGTCCACCAAGCTTGTCCTTAAACAAAAACACTTTGACAGGTATGAGTAAATCGCAGTGAGGCTGCGGCCGCTGGACTAAAGTGAGCACTGTGTAGGCCCCGGCACTGCAGACATTGGGGGTGTATCCAATGATGGTTGCTGACCAGTGGAATGGAAGCACTTGCGGATTGGGGTTCCCCTCTGCTGGCCCCCATAAATCTGCTCAGCGTGCTCTGAAGTGGATTTGGGGGGTCATGTGGCAGGGAAGGCTTCAGCGAGAAGAAGAGCAATTAAAAGTCCTGTTAACTAAGTAGACATATGCTCATAAAGCACTGGATTTAACCCAGAGAGTATAAGATGTTGGTTTCTCTGCACTCAGTAGTCTGACTGCAGTCTTAACACAGATTTTAGGGTGCACAAAGCTGAAGAAGATCCAGAGAGGGGCAGTTAAAATGACAAAGAGGCCAGAGTTTCTCTTCAAAAGAACAGCTGTGATAAGAAAACAGGGCTTAAAATGTGAGGGCTTTTGTTTGAATCAGGCCACTGAAGAGGATGAGGGTGAGACATTCTGCCCCAGAAGCCCCTGAGATACCCCCAGGAAGCCTTGAAGGTGTAGGTGTCCTGCTCATAGTAAGCCTCCAGATGGGCTATTTGGGGAAACAGGTCACAGGCAGGCTTGGGTCCATCGTCCCTGAAGGCAGCACTGCCCCAGAGATGGAATTGTTTTTTCCTGCTGTTTTCCTGCTGTTGAACCCAAAGGCAGGGGAGGAGTGGGGGATGAATTGAAAGGACTAGAACTACCACAAGAAGGAAAAGGGAAAAATGCTACTCAACTCTCAGTCTGGCCAGAGCAAGCTGGCAGGACTGTCAGAGTGACAGACCCTCCACTGCTTCACTCCCAAACCCCATTGGATTGCTCTCTAAATTGGGAAATTAAGTTTGCCCAATCTTTCCAAGTCTGTCTAATGCTTTTCAGTGCTACTTAATTTCTCTTTTGTCTTTAATTTTAATAAAGTTTCTTAATTGGATTCTGGGTTTAATGGCCTACTTTGATCACTCAATGAATATTCTCCCCGGGGTTGGTTAGCCTGATCATTCAAACTACACTGTTTGGGTGAAAGGGAAGTAAAGGGAGGTACAGGCTCTGCCTCATGACAATACGGGGAATTCATTAGAATTTGCTCCTTCCAGATATGGACAGGCTTTGTGGAGTTGCTTTCTCCACCAAAGCCAAGGTAAAAGGAAGGACACTGACCGTATTCAAGAAAAGCAGACACATTCAACCTTCCATCTTGCCAGGTTGGTGGGTGTTGTCTTCACAACTCTACACTATGGGTGAAGATGAAGTCAGGAAGGTTGACTTTGTACTCAGGGCTGAGACAAAGCACATGAAGTGGCAGAACACATGTGTCGCATGTATGAGGTTCAGTCCTGTCATGTTGAAAAGCAGAGCTGGGAAAGGCCGCTGCTTGGACAGCCAACGCTCACCAGAGTATTCAATAGTAATAGATGGACATGTAAGGTATCTTAGTACGTTCAAGTCAAAAAGGAATTGCCTTCCTACCATATGCAGACTTCTACCTGCCAGGTCATTGAGTCATGGAAGGAAGAATCAGAATTTCCAGCAGCTAAGAGACTAAGCTTGCAGTCCTACATACATTTAGGCTCACACACCCCTTCCTTGTGCTCTGTGTGCTGCTCTGCACATAGGATGCCCAAGCGGCCAACAAGGCTACTAAAGGCTTGTAGGCAGAACAGCCTGGACTGGCCTTTTATGTAGCAGTAAGTCCTGCTGTACCCAGGGGGACCTAAGAGCAAACTTGCACAGGATCAGACCATTAGTAATAGAGACTAGTGATGCTTATTAATAACATGATCAGTAGAGTAAACTGGAAGCCCATTCAGTACCCCGAACACTAGATCTGATTTATTAAAAAAACATGTTCCTTATTTCCATCAAAACTGAAAATCAATAGTCATGTCAGAACACAACTTTATGTTCCAGACAAAGGCAGTTTAACAGATTTCAAAGTTGTTTTATTATTCTATTCTCCTCTTTATTTTCTTTTGAAAGATCTGCACATGAGGATAATTCAAGACTCAAAGATTCCTGAAGGAAAGCATGCCGTTTTCTCTGTGATGATTTTTTTAAACAGTCTCCCCCTTGTCCCACATTCATCATGATTGCTTGAGAGGCAAATATCTCACCACTTGGATGCTACACAACTCCTTCCTTTGCAGACAAAAATAATATTAAACTCATCCAGTCAAAACACAAACCAACCTTTGGTGTCAATGTGAATTATGTACTTTGAGCAGCAGATGTTTGGAAGCACTTATATTTATCTAAATTGATTTTATCCTTTTCTTTTCCATTTGAAAGAATTAGTTCTTTCCTTCACTAAATGATGGTTTTGATGGATTTATGTAATTATGCCATAATTCTGAATTAAAGTTTTTTTTTGTTTTTTAAATGTGGAGTCTTTGCTTGACACTTCTGGCAAACAGTCAACAAGAGTGTTTAACTGATTATTTTTACAATGCCCAGCCATTTTAAACCTCCAGGATTTCAGAGAAAAAGAATGAAAAAGAAAAGCACTTTGGCAAAGGTCAGGCCCCAGGAACATCTGCAATTT